TTTCCTCTGCGACCAGCACGGATCAGCTCTAGGCATGACGAAGCGGATATCGTCCTCTTTTGGAAGACCAAACAAAGTAGTTTCGCTTTCACAAAGAAACACACAGCGCCTTCATGACATGGTGGCGGCGGCAACAACAATACTACAGCGAGAATAAAAGTTACGCCTTCTTTCTTTGCGTGCACATTTGGGCGGCATTATGGTAAAATTTCCACATAGTGACGTAGACATGTGGGGGCGTGTTAGAACGAACCGTTTTAGGTAGGCGTGGTTGACTCTTAACTTCTATAAAGAATATCTCTTTGGATTTGAGACTTTAGTCTTTGCAACTTTACAGATCTTCTTTATGCACCAAGAGCTTTTAACACTCCAAAGAGAAAGGAAAAATTGAAATCGCATCATATGACCCCTTTAAGATCTTAATCTCCTGATAAATGCTATAAGATAAACTATACTTTAAAACTACATAAACTACAAGATTTAATTTCAGAAACTCATGAACTATTAATACGCAATATCATACTGCCAATTCATTAAGTCTGATGTTGATAGTGATGCTTGCCACTAACCAAGTTACAATAGTTACAATCAGTACAAATGTAGGCTATTAAATACTGTTTTTAGATGTCAAATCCAGCTGGAAACTAGAACAAATAAACACGCATAGCAGAAACCTGATTTGAACGTTCACAATGGGATTGGTTGTGGAACTGGTAATGCTGTAGGACAGCTTATAAATTACATAATAATTTCAAATTCAAATAGAATTAAAAATAATCATTTGACTGACATATTGCATGATATGCCAATGTGTTTATCATGTGTTCATCAGCTGAGAGCGAGGAAGGGGGTTGGGAGAGAAAAATGTAGATAGTTCGCCCTCTGCAATAGGGGTTGCTTGCGGGAAGGCATGGGAAGGCAGATGGAATCAAATGAAAAGGAGAAACAGGGGTCACAGTCACTGTGCATCAGCCACCCAGACTTAAATGATGTGTTTTGGCAGGGAGGTTTGTGGTAGAAGGCCAGCAGTGAGAAAGTCCTGCCCACTCTCAGGTCAGAGAGGATTTGACTGGCAAAATGAGAGAGAGAGAGAGAGATATTGTTGTAAGTTGCACACCCAAATATACAACTCTACTTCCACATCAGGTATATACCTTCCTTACTTCCTTTCTGAAACAGGAAGGCGCAATACTGAATTGAAGCATTTTTGTCACGCAAGTGCATTGAGGTTAAGGTCTCAGCTGGCACAGGCCAACGAGAGGGACATCAGATTTTCACTGGAGCCAAACAGCATTTAGTTACCACTTCAAATTTGCTCATGATTATTTCAGGAGTGAAATCGGGTTAGACACGTTACATCATCATTCAAAGATCCCAGATGCAGCAGGCTGACACGGCATGAACGCAGAGAGCGTCTGATAGCTCCGTTGACGATTGGAGGAGAAGTTGCACGGTTTAAGCTTAAAAGCACTCTGTTTCCTGTCCCATCCAGGCCAATGGTTGGCGTCTCCAGGGAGAAGGAGTACTTTGAATGTTATTTTTAGGATCAGAGAGCTCATTTGCTTTTCCCAAGGTGAACAGCGAAGCCCATCTGATCCCGACGACGGCCCTTCACGTGTCAGGCACTAACATGCTGTCAGACAAACACATGCAGAAAAAATATCCTGTATGACTATGCACATAAGTGACAGAGGTGAAGAAATAGAGTGTAATTGAAATGGGACTTACGTTATTTAAAAACACATACATTTGCAAAGAAATATTGATGGAATGGTTGATCGTGACAGTATTGACATTGATCAAAATAATTATATGGCTCGATACTGATACAGATACAGAAAAACAAACACAAAAAATATGACATGATATGAAATATCTAAATTATAATATAACAACATTATGCATTACACATAATAGTATAGAATACTGCTGTTACTGCATGTTACATCTGCAAATGTATTATGAACAATACATTTGTGATAGCTATTACATAAATATATAGACACTATAAACAGCGTTTTGGAAAATATGGCGCTTTTTTTTTTTTTTAAACAACAGACATGGTAAGCAGGTTGAACCTGAATAACAAGGATTGATATGGGATGAACCCTTATTCTTTTTATTGGTGCTATATAAATAAAGTTGAGTTGAGTTGAGTTGAGTATGCTAGGCTAAATTTCTACACAAACCAACACTCCTGGCAAACAGATAAAACTGGTTGTGCAAGAGTGTAGGAAACAAATTCCTATCTTTTTAAACAGCAAGTCTTAAACAGTACAGTGATTCTGAAGATGTTTTCAATTAATCTCATTACAATCAACTAGTTCTACATGCTGATTGTAGCCACTTATAAAGTCTAGGCGCGATTTATGATACATGTCTATGTTTGCATTTATTTATTGCAGCATTTGGGAGATATATAACGCGAGAGGCGTTTAATGAAAATCAGTTTAGGTTTGTAAATATTATTATTCTGTAGTTTAGATGTCGGCCTTTAGGACCTGGTGACGGACGCAATGAGGATTCCCTTCAAGAGTCCGAAGGGAAATAGTGCGCAAACTGCGCATGCGCACACGTTACATTCGCGCCATCCCTAGTTGAGAGCAGGCAGAACAGGATGAAATGTATCAAAACAGAAGTCAACACTGTACCTGTTTAAAGGAGCCGTGAACCAGGAGGAAACGTTCACCGACAGTTCAGGAATTCTACTTAGAAATGTTTTAGAAAAAAAAAACTATTATGGAAACAGCTTAAGACTTAAAGAAGTGTAGTTAAAGAGGTTTATGAAATTAAAACACAAGCAGATGAGCGCAACCTAGAGGATTAAAGGCAAACATGTTAAGAAGATGAGGAAAACAATACAGGCTAATTAGAGAAGCGGTCGGAGTGGGAATTGCTTTCGGTGAACAGCCGGACAATGGCTTGAGTTTGTTTTTCTTTCTTTTTTGGGCTGCGAAGAAGCTGCATTCATGACCGAGGAGACGGAAAAGAAACTTTACCGCGTGTGCGTGGGATATTTCATTCTATGAAACTATTGCGTTTTCTTGTCTGTCAGCGGAACCACCTGTTTCTGGACGGATTTGATTGATTCATCATGTCCAAAGTGGTACAGAAAAAGAATCACTGGACCACCAAAGTTAACGAGTGCACGATCTGTAAGGACGCCCGCGGCGAGCTGAACGTGCAGCTGCTCGGCGGTGCGGAGAACGGTGAGTTCGCCTATATCGGACCCGTTAACGGGAATGCCGTACAGTACAGACATGGGACAGTGTCCGAGGGGGAATTACTGCTGGAAGTGGAGACGCTCTCTGTCTCTGGATTGCCGCTGTATGATGTGCTGACAGTGACCAAGAACTGCAAGGGACCTATTAGGTTGAAAACTGTGAGGCAAGGTAAGAAGAGTGCTCTAATCTCACTTTTCTTTTTCCCATGTGATGTATTTCCTGTAAACAAATCATTAAGGAATTGTTTCCCCACCTAACAGCTATGCCTGAAAATATTGCATAATTTGGGTGACTTGGACAAGTAGAGATAGGCCTATTATTTATGTTTTTTTAATTTTTATTAATGAAACAATTAATTGAACCCATACAGTTGGCCTAGTGATTTTTAAGTGTCTGATAACGGATATACTGATTTTGTATTTATTGTTTTAATTATAAATGCTTTCCTTAAAATCATTAGACTGCAAAAATAATAGCCAACATTTATTTATTTGTTGTGTGTGCATGTATGTGTGTGTGTGTGTGTGTGTGTGTATATATATATATATATATATATATATATATATACATGCATACATACATACATACATACTGTACATGTATGCATACATACATACGTACACACATAATATTTAGTTATTTAGTTATTTGTTGTAGTTGCATGGTTGTTGTTAAATTTCACAGACAAGACAAAATTTTCATGGGTCAGTTCTAGGGATATGCCGGTGACCAGTTGATGGGAAAAGTATTCTTAAAATGCATTCAAAATTCTGAATAATTTGTAATATATAATTTTTCACGGTATTTAGAAGTGCCCATGATAACAATATCGTGCATATTCATTACTGTGATATATCGCATTACCGAATACCGGCACAAGTCTAGTCAGTTCACAGGACATGGGTTGTGCGTCCCTGAAAAAAGAGCCCCAGTAGCAGTACTTTTTTATGTTTATGTCATTACATTAATTAATTTTTTGCAAATTAATTTTCATCTTTGTTTTGGATGTCATGTTATGCATTTCTCAGTTATGAGTGAATGAATCTCTGTTTTTAAGCATTGTGAAACTTATTTGCCCCAGGTTAAGTCAAGTTGAAAGAAGTGCAACTTGACAAAATCCATTTCACGGCAGGTCAGATATGCTGAAGACCCTTTGTAGATGCTCTTTGATAAGTTTAAAGCATGACTCACTAAATAAAATCACATGTGATACCATTCGTCGTGTTTCTAAGTGCATTCGTCATTTATTTCACTTTATTCCTTTATGAGGAGTTGATGAGTGAGCTGTAATTCCCAGGTAAAGGCACTACAGACTGTCCATTGTGCTGACGCTGTGGTGACTCCCCACAGGGCTCTGCCTCATCACATGGTTTGAGTTATGCTGCTCTCCCCGCTCTGTATGCTTCTGCCTATTTCACCAAATGACTTCAGACAATATCAGGAAACCAGCCAATCAACTCGGACTGCATTCCCAGAGCACTACTGGGCCCAGCTCCAGCTCTCTCTCGCTCTCATACACTCTTCATATACATTCTGGTGTTGAGTTTCAACGTTTATAATCTATCAAGCTGTCTGGGAACTTTTTATTGTAACCAGCCTTAATTATGAAAATGTTTTTGGCAACAAATGCCATCTGTTTTTCTGAGTTTGTGAACAAAGTCTTCATTTTTTTTTCTTGAACAAGCTGATGATCTCAAACTCCCCATGCTTTAGACTTGCAGGATGAATTATTGATATGAAAGGCATTAAGCTGAGCTTGAAATGCGTTTCTCGTAGTTCAAGACTCTGTATGCTCTTGTTCATACAAGCACCTGTGGGTCTTTACACTAGTCATATGGCCTTTTTCATTTGTGTGGGCCATTATTATATACATTGTCTAATAATGAGCACACAGCCCGTCCATAACCTTCGGCACAGTTAATACAGCGCACAACAAATTCACTCATTAATCTTCATTGATTTTTACATTAAGACTCTCAGTCCTGTGGTGACCTTACTAACATTCTGTGCCCTGGCAGCTCTCTCTGGAGGTAATATGTAATAGGAATACCTTTCAACGCTGTTGTATTGATTGATGGAATAAGCCTCTTACTCTTCAGCTGAGAAAACAGTGTTATTGGTGATGTCAGAGTTGTGGCACTTAGAGCTGAAAGTTTCATGGGATGGCAGTTTTGGAAGTCTTAAAGTGAGGAAAATTCATGGGTCAATGACATGGTACTCATTATTTATAATTGTTTAATTTATTAATTTACTCAAAATTCAATTCGTGCATGCAATGACATGAATATGTCTTCTATGAAGAGCATTTTTTAAAACTTATGAATTAAAATATTTGACCTTTTCACTTTTTTCCACCAAATTCATCACGCATAGTGTTACAGTACATCACTTACTCACTAATGGATCCTCTGCATTGAATGGGTGCTGTCAGAATGAAAGTTCAAACAGCTGATTAAAACATTACAGTAATCCTCAGGTAATCCACACGACTCCAGTCCATCAATTAATGTATTGCAAAGTGGAAAGCTGTGTGTTTGTAGTAAACAAATTAATCAAGACGTTTTTGATGAGCCCTCATCTCTTTTTTTCATAAATTTGTTTTCTCCAGTGAAAATTCGTCTTGTCTGAATTAGAAGAGAAATGTGCACACATCAAGCACAGTTTACAAGTGAAACAGTCATTTTAACATTTTAAAGAAGTATGTCGGTTGGTTTTGTTGTGAGAGGGCAATTGAGGATGGACTTATTTACTGGAGGAAGCATTATTAGATTCATATTTTGGCCAGAAGTGACGGATTAAAGCCTTGTGGATTATTGTGATGTTTTTAGCAGCTGTTTGGACTCTTATACTGACAGCACCCATTCACTGCAGAGGATCCATTGGTGAACAAGTGATGTAATGCTATTCTGATGAACAAACAAAATCATCTACATCTTGTCCAGACTGGGTGTTGACTTGTTATCATGATGCATTTCACAGTAGGACAATTTATCCTGTATCAGATTACTCTAAACAAATGCTGATCCTAGATCAGTTTCCCACTCTGAGCTGCTTTCTGAAAGGGGTAGAATGACACACTGCTCTACATCTCTCTCTGTCTGGGAGCTTCTGTGTGGGATTTGACATCAGGCTGGATTAGGCTATGCCTGGGGAGAAAATGCATGTGTGTTTTTTACATGTCCACAGCCTCGGTTTGCACAGGGATAATGCTAATCTACCCTAAACCAATAAAAAGGGGACTGTGAAATGCCATTAAGCCAGTGGTCTGGGGTTACCATGAAGGTATTTAGTCTGGATCACATCAGGCTGTCGAGGCTGTGCCCTATACTTCCTCTTGTTTGCATATAGTCAAATTTCAGTCCTGCTGCTTTTCACATTGTATATCAAACACCATTCCATTTCATATATACATATTGTAGGTTTTTATATGGCCGGCTGATAGATTGACTGTGGTGTAAATTAGTTGACGGGAGGGGTGGAGGCCTCAGTGGGTAGATTTCATGTGGAAGTGTTTATTTCCTTTTCCTGAGTTCAGTTTAAACATCTGTGTTCTTCAGGAGAAAGAGAGGAACACACTTTGCTTCCTATCACGGTTGGTGAGTCAGGACAACTTAAAACTATGAGGAAAGCTATCCATTCTTTCAGTGCTCCAAGAAAGGGAAGACCAGTAAAGCAGTGAATGAATGAACAAATGATCTCAACCGCATGTTTGTACATCCACCTATGGTTATGCAAGAGAAATTTGTGTACACTCAGGTGTAACATTTTAGGATGGAGCACATAATTCTTTTAAGGTGTATGAGACTTTTTATTGTAAAAATAACTAACATTTTAGTATAAGTTCAGTTCTGTTGGTCATGAGGTTTTTAATGACTTTTAGGTTTTATTTAGTATTGTGGTTATCAATCAGAGGGTCGCAGAATGACTCCTAAGTATTTGTTAATAAATTAATAGGCCTATATAAAATAAAATAATCTAAATTAAAATGATAAAACGGCTAAAATCAAGATGTAAAGTGAAAGCATATTTCTCTTAATTTCCCTCAATAAATACTGTTTTTATTAAACACACTGTTCTAAAAAGTTCTGGAGTCACAAAATAAATAATGGTTTATTAATCTAATACCAGTGCTACCAGTTTCTGTTATGAAAACAAGCATGTATTTGTGTTGGACAATGGGTGACCTTTGAGTCAAAAAGGTCGAGAACCACAGATTCAGCTAAAGCAAGTTGTGAATCAAATGCTGGCTGAAGATATGTATCTTTAGATGGTTTGAAGTTCCAGCTGTTCTGATAGATTTCAGATCGTGCCTCTATTGAAGAATGATAATTTGATCTCAGGAAAGTGGTCACTCACAGACCACAACCTAGAGATACCAGGACCCTGGACAAGGAGTTTTTTTACTCCAAGAAAACCAGACCTTTTCTGTCCAAGCATGATGATGTGGAGCACAGATATGTATGACTGAGTGTTTTTTTCTTTTCTTTTTGTGATGTGGTCAGTTAAGTTCATTGACCTGGATGCCGTTATCACTGAATGTTAAAAATACTTCAAACTCCCGAACTCTGTACCTTTCATTGGTAAGCTTAAACCTGACACAGAACGCATTCGAAAAGTCAAATGTTTGTGATAATGTTGTTGGTATCACCAAAGGGTAATAGAGGTCTTTATATAAATCAACAGGTCCTTGGCCTTCTGCTCACTCAAACATTGACATTTTTATTAATATAAGTGGTAAGTAAGGGGAATTGGTTACACTAGTGTTTGTACAGTATGACTGCTCCAGGGCAAAAGCACTTTTCCCCTCAAGCTACAGTATGTGTATCCTCAGGGAGAGCTTCCGTCCAACTGGGCTAATGGAGTCTTGTGACTTACTGCTGCTGGCGTGACACAACTGACCTGTGGTGGATGTCGTACAGAATTTCTAATTCGCTTATCAAATTGGATGTTGCTGTGTCAGTATCATAGAGTAATTTCAAGGGGACACATACTCGTGATGTGTCCCCTCTGCTATCAGACTCACAAAACGTGATAAAAAGCTGACCTACACTGTCTTATGCATGATAGTGACATACATTTCTTATAAATGTTCCACCTCAGAGTACAAAAAAAAGAGAGAAAAATTATTTCACTGAATTCCGACTGTTTCACACAATTGTGACTACTTC